GAATGAGGGCCCTGGGAGGGAACGAGCTGCTGCGTCCACAGGGAAGGTGCGCCCCAGTGTGCTGTCGCAGCTTCTCACCTTCCTCCCTCACACCTGTGCTGGGCCACAGTTGGTTTCTGGAAAGTTCCACCTGTGTCTGTGGCTGAGCGGCATGGGCACAGAGATGGACAGGACAGGGGTGAGGACTTAGGGGCGTTCCCCTCCGACCACCTCCCAGCCACGGTCACCTATGAGAGAAACCTGAGGAGCCAGGTGAGTGGGGGCAGGTCATTGCCAGCTTTCCGCCCCCGTGACCTTAAGCTGTGTAGTGGGCGGGATCTGCTGCTGAGGTCATGCGCTGAGCCACATGCCCTGCCCAACCACAGGAGGACTGTCATTCCAGATATCCTCCACCCAAGGGATAGGTGGGTCCCTGTCTTGGCCCGTGATGTGGCGGACTGTCAGCGGTCCCCCAAGCCCATTCTAGCTCCTACTCCAGGGCGATGAACTGGACACATGGCTTCCCAGGACAAGGACCATATTTCCCGAATCCCTGGCAGCACAGCCTGTGACTATTTCTAGCCAATGACATGGGAACTGTGCACCTGTCAGAGCTTCCAGAACCCTTGGAATCCTTCCTGAAAAGATACATAGGGATTATTCCCCCATTTTTGGGGGAGTGGGGTGGGGGGAAAAGATACATAGGGATTATTCCCCCATTTTGGGGGGAGTGGGGTTGGGAGGAGGTTTTTGCTATAGGGAACATGTGCTTGCCAGAAAGACAGAGAGACAGAAAGCGAGAAATCACCCCCCAGGGGGGATGGCCATGCCGCAATCCCTTCTCCTCCATTCTCCTCTCTGGATCTCGGACACGCACACACCCACATCCATTCTCCTCTCTGGATCTCGGACACGCACGCACCCACACCTGGAGTTTAAGCCACCGGGTTCAGGACTCAAACCACGGTTGACGACATGGGAATCCAGCGACATAGCCATTACGCCAACTGCTGTTCCCGGGATTGTTCCCTTTTGCTTCTCTTTCCTGAGGCACCCTCTCCATCCTCGTCTGGATCTGGGATGTGATAGCTGGAGGTACAGCCACCACCTTGGACCAGGTGAGCCAAGCGTGGAAGAGCAGCGAGCTGGAGAATGCCTGGCCTGCACTGCACGCATGCTGGAGGGCCCGCTCTGGGATCTCCTGAGAGAGCAAGCTCTTCCTCATCCGAGCCACCACTCTCTCAGGTCTCTGCTACTGCGGCACGGTGACGCCACCTGAGCACGCGGCTCAGAGGTTGCCAGATCCGTGGCAGGAAAACGAGCCCGCTTCCACTCCCGGCTTTAATTAGAAGAAGATGGGCTCCGGGGACATGGAGCAGAGATGGCACCAACCACAAACAGGCTGCCCCAACATTCAGCTGAGTGAGGCTGGGAGCCCCCGATGTCAAAGCAGTGTGTGTGGGGGTCCTCCGGGCAGACATCTCCATGGAGACACAGCCCACCTGAGTAGGGCTGGTCCAAGCACCCTGCCTGCTCCTCATGGGAGACCCCATGTGCTGTGGCCTACCTGCTCCCCTGCAGAGCACAGAGCCAGGCCACCTCCCTCCCCCTGCCTGTCAGCGCGGACCCAGGCAGCCCTCAGCAGCTTCCCCCAGCTGTCTTCCCTGCAGCCGCCTCAGCATGGGGACAATGACAACTCAAGGAAGTCTCGCCAAGCCACAGAGCGTGTGGCTTGGATTGCTGTAATTATCTGAGGAAACTTCCAGGGTAATTACCGCGGTGACAGCATGCCTGAAAGGGCTGAGCCTCCAGGAATAGCAGGGAGGGGTGGAGATGGCGGGATGTGGGATGTGCACCCCCCAAAGGCCACCAGCAGAGAGGGCGGCAGGAGGGAACCAGCAGAGATGGCCAGTGGCCAGTGCTGCCCAACTCAGAGCCCCCTGCTGGGTGGCCCCCAGGGGCAGGAGAGGCTTCCAGGAAGTCCCTGCCTCTGACAGATGAGGACAACCCAGGGCTACCCTCCCAGCTTGTCCTGCCACTGAGAAGCAAGGTGCCCAGGGTACAGGTGCCGAGGAACTCACTGGACCTGGGGAACCCGCACGCCTCCCCAGCAGGCAGTGCCTGAAGCGCGATGCCCAGGAGCAGGCTTTAGACCCGGCGGGTCAGAACTCTGATGGGCTCCCCCCAGAAGAAGCCCGTGACCAAGCCCTCACACCTGTGGGCACTAGCGACCCCACGACAGGTCACAGGTGATGGCCACTAGAGCCTGACCCCAGCCATGTCTGCACTCGTCTGTCTAAAGGTAATCTCATTTCTCCCCACTCACCAGTTCAAATGCCTCCCTCAGAGGCCTCTAACTACACAAGGCGCCCACGGTCACCCACACTCTGGCCTGATGGTCACCCCATAGGCCAGCTCTCTCCCTGCATGGAGGCTGGACCTGCAATCCCTCAGTCCATGCCCGCCCACCAGATCCTAGCAACCAGGGTGAGCTCCCCCAACAGAAATGCAGCCCCTCTAAACTGTGCTGCTGCCACTAGGGTAGCCTACCACTCGGGATCTCTCCCTGCCTGTCTCACCTCTACCCAGAACAGACTCCGAGGGCAGGGTCCACGTCGCCATCTTTGATTTGTAAGCACAGGAAGCCTAGCCACATCACGAGCAGCCCGGTGTTATGAAAGCACAGGGCTGGGACCAGCAGTTAGCGTAATGGCTATGTCGCTGGACTCCCACGTAGTCGATCGTGGTTCGAGTCCCAGACCCAGAGGCTTAAACTCATGCTGGGCACATGTGCGTGCGTGCCCAAGATTCCGAGAGGAGAATGGAGGAGAAGGGACTGCAGTGTGGCCATCCCCCCTGGGGGATGATTTCTCGCTTTCTGTCTCTCTGTCTCTGTCTGTCTGGCGAGCGCACGCACCCTATAGCAAAAAAAGAAAAGAATGCACAGGGCCTAGCACTGTCTCCATGACCTGTCACCTCCTGACAGCCCAGAGAGGAAGCTCTAGCTCAAATGAGCTCTCTGGGGGCCCACTGTCCTCGCCCGCAGCAGGCCTAGCTCAACACCTGCCCAGGACACTGTAACCCACACACAGGTGCATAATGAAACAGGACAGCATGAGCAGCCACCGTTTCCGAGTGACCCATTTCCTGGGCTGGGTGCGAAGCTACATGCTTGAGTGACCCATTTCCTGGGCTGGGTGCGAAGCCACACACTCCACAGACCCCACCCCAGCCACTTGACCCTACACCCCGTGGATGAGCCAGTTTTGACCCATGTCTTCCACAGCATAGGCAGGAGTAGATCCAGTGACCTCCCAAGACCACGAGGTGACCAAGAGCCCAGGTGTGGCCCAGCCTCAGTCTGCCTCCCTCAAGGCTTGCAGCCTGAAAAGGCCAGGAGTGACACCGTCCCCGAGTCCTGCAGAGCTCAGGCTTCCTTCCAAGGGCCTCGCCATCAGATGTGGCTGGCAGCCTGCCACCTCCACCGCCTTCCTCCTCTTGGCCCTCAGACACTCCTTCTAGAAGGAGGCTGACTTCTTTTTCAGAACCAACATTCGGCCAAAAGCCTCCCCCAAGGCAGAGTGAAGCAAAGGTGGCCACGGGTGGGGAACATTACCACAGCTCTTCTCACCTGGGATGGGGGGGGGAGGGCCAGGAAAGGCGGGCAGACAAGGGAAGCTGACTGTGGCGGCTGGCCACTCTAAGCCCGAGGAAACAGCTGCCGGTGTGCTGGGAAGGTCTCCCCCGGGGCCCCGGAAGGCTGCTGGCGCTCGGCTCCAGGCTAGTTAGCACTGGGCACCTGGGGAAAGAGGCTTCAAGCCCCCTTCTAGGACAGCCTGGCCAGCTCTCCCCAGGTCCTCTCTGAGAGGACTAAGGACTCACCAACTCTCCTGGCAGGGTACTCACTGCATCCATGGAAGGTGCTTGCTGGACCCAGAGGCATGAAAGGTCAGCTTAGGTGCTAGAAGCAGGGGAGCCAGGGCCAGAGCCAGAGTCCTGGCTGGGTGCTGGCCAGGCTACCTAGAACGGGTGACGTCAGCACGTCTGCTCGCCCCCAAAGCCTCCGAGACTCATCTGTGAAATGGGAGGGAACATCGTGGCCACCCTGAAAAGCACAGAAAGAGCTGGCACAGCCCGGAGCCAGCACACAGCATGTACCATCAGCACTGACCCTGGAGTCCCACAAGGTCCCCCACAGACAGGTGGCCTTGGGCCTTGTGAATCAAACTGTGCCTACTGGTCCCACCAACACAGGAGATGACACCAGGGGCCAAGACCACCCAGGTCAGGCCACAATTACTGTGTGGAGGGGAGCAGGGACCACCTCTGCTGACCCAAGGGTGGATCCTCACGCAGTCCAGGCCCAGGAGAAGCACGTTTCCTTGACACTAAATAGAGCTCTCAGCAGGGCTACTCCGACCATTTGCAAAGGAAAGAGAAGGTCATGCCAACATCGTTCTTTCCCAGAAAGTCCTTCTCCCGTGAGCAAACACATACAAAAGGCAGCCTTAACTTCTCGGGGATGCCCTGTGCCTAGTGTGGGGTTGGACAGGGGCTGGGAGGTGAGCCCACAGCAGGCCAGAGAGCTCCCCAGCCAGGAGGGAGGCTCCCCTGAGAACAGAGTGTACCCTGCGAGGTCAGCAGCCACATGAAGGCCCTCAGCGCCTGTTTGTCTCCTTCGCTGGATTACGTAACCCCACTCACCCGCTTGCCACCAAGCAACGCTATGCACGCCCCGATCTCCTCACTGCAGGACTGCGACACTTCACTGCCACCAAGGACTCAATGTGACCAAACAAAACCTTCTCATGGTCAGAGACACTCTCCCGAAGAGTACACTGAGGCTTTTATTTCCCACCTCCCCTGGCTGCAAGAGAATCAAAGGGCCTCCTCCAAATGACTGCCCCTGCAGAATTCACCTGCCTCCTGTCCCAGAGCGCTTCAGTGCAATGGCCGACCTTGTGCAATGACCACCCGGGCGGCGGGCTGCCTGCCACAGTGCCGAGCCACACGTGCCATACCTTTCATGTAGGCCTCGATCTTCCGGATGAGCTCATAGGACTTGGAACGGTCAAGGAGGGTCCTGATGGCAGGGAGGGGGTCCAGGACGATGGTCTCGGGGTGAGCATCGATGTATTCCTGAAAGGAAAGCACATCACACTCCTGGTTAGCCGGGGGGTGCAGAGCTGAGGGCACCAAGCCGTAGTGCTCCCTTGTGCCTTCCCTCCCCACCAGCCCTGACTTCAGTTTGGGGCATCACCTGACCTTGGTTAGACCAATCAGCATATCCCAACCCGAGGCTGCTGGGTCGGGGAGGACACGTGACCCTGAATTGGTCTAATCAGAGGCAAGCTCAGGACTGTTGCTGGGAATTCTGGGACAAGAATGCTCCTGGCCTCCGGAGGAAGACGAGGAACTGTGGAGATGGGGCAGCTGTGAACAGTCACCCTGGGACCCTAAGGAGAGGCTTGACTGAGGCAAAACTCAGAAACGGAGCCTGAAGTCAGAAAAGAGAATGGAGAACAGGAGAGCAACCGGTTCCATGCAGGTCGTTTGACCCCTGGATAGAGCCTCACCTGAAACCAGATCTGCTCCGTGCACTGTGCTCACTGAGAGGCGCCTCAGCACACGGAGCTGTTAAGGACGGAGGCAGGGCTGGGGAGTAGGACCGGCTTCACTCGAGTCCGTGGGAAGGCGTGGCGGGGAGAGCTGTGCCGCGGGGAGGCCACCCAGCACCCAGAGTTTCACTCTAACGCTCGACTTCATGGTAGCATTACAGAATGCAGGAGAAACAGTGACAAAATCACAGTCTTTAAGGAATGTACCATCTTCTTGGGGAAATTACAATATTTTATGTGTGTGTGTGGGACACTAACGTTTATAACAGAATTCAATAAAAACATAGGGCAAAATGTTTCCAGAAATACAACACAGGTCGTGAGACAGAAGATCCCAGAGACCCTCGGGCAAGTTCTACCACTTGTCACCTCTGTTACCCCTGGTTTCCTGATCCGCTTTGGTAGGCCAGAGCAGCAGACACAGCTCTGAAACTCGATGATCCTGAGGACAAAACTATGGCATGAGCGACAGGGAAGGCCTCAGAGAAAAGGCTGGGTTCGAGGAAGGTGGTTCATCGGCGACTGTGAGGTGAACTGTGTCCCCAAGATACATGGGGCACAGGCCGTGCAAAGGCCTGGGCCTGCTGAGTCCTGCAAATGCAGGTCCGAATCCCACCTGAGAACCGCTGAGTGGGGCCGTGTTTGGAAACAGGTTCTGAACATAACCACGCTACCCGGAGGTCACATGGAGATGGACTGATCCCCTGACTGGTTTCCTAAAACGGCGGAATCCGGACATGGACACGCAGGGAGAAGGCCACGTGACGACGGCTGACCATGCAAGGCATGCGTGACCAGGAAATGTGGAGCCTGCAGAAGGAAACGGCCCTGACTCCAGGACCGGGGGAGGGTGACTCGTTCTTGTCTTGTGGTACTTGGGCACGAGAGCCCCAGGATCGAATCCAGCCCTGCAGCCCACCCTCCACACCTGTCTGTGTGGGCCACAATGGTAAGGAGATCACACCCGCATGCTTCTTTTCTGGTAAATGTCAACAGCAAAAAGAGAAAGCCATCGGGAACTTTTCCCCGTGAACCTAGTTTGGTTCCCAGTCATCATTTTTCAGGGCTCTCAACACGGCGGCTGAGTCCTGCCTACAGCCCGTCTGGGACGACCCCTCTGTGTCTCCTGCTGGAGGACTGGGAAGGAACTTGCAAAATTCCTCGGCCCCTACACAACAGGCGGTGTCCACCTGGGGAGGCTTTGCCTTCCGCCCTCACCCCCGAGAAGGCCAGGGACCTGCCTACTCTGGCCCTCAGAAGGCCCTCTCGCTGCACGCACTGCGGCTACACCCTAAAAGCAGACAGAGGCTGCTATCTGGCCTTCCCACCCTTGGACATGACCGCCAGCCGCTGGGCAGCCGCTGGCACAGAGCCAGGAGGCAGCTGTGCAAGAGGCCCCATCTGCCATGATGGGGAGCATGGGACCAGCTGGGAGGTTTCCTGAGGACGGCTTTACCCAGACCAGCCCCTGGCCCAGCAGCTGCGCCCAGCCCCTCTCTCCTGAACCAGGCCAGCCACCGCTCGTCTGGGGCGACCCAAGGGTGACTCCCTCTTGGGACCATTCCCTTATCAGTCAGGCTTTGTTTCCAAGGGGCAGGTGGTTCCCAGGCCCCCACCAAGACTCCCACGTGTGCATGGAATCCTCATATTCACATGACCGAGCGGGCTTGGGGCACCATGTGGGGAGCAGGATGTGCAGACAGTCCCCAGTGAACTCCGTGTGCGTAACTGGGAGCAGCCCGCTGTCATGCTCTCCCCTCACACGGGCCGGGAAGCAGCCTGGTGCGGGGCAGAGATGTAACTGGAGGCAAGAAGCCAGGCTCCCAGGTGAGAGCCTCTCAGTGTCACCTTGTGTCACCTCTGAGGAAGCCTCTTTTGGGGTTTCCTCCCCTGAGACAGGAGCAGTTGCTGCAGGGGACCTGTGAGGTGTGTGCAAAGGAGGCCTTGAGTTCTGGCGTCTACACTGACAGGGAGGCCTCGAGCTCCGGCATCTACACTGATGAGAAGGCCGAGAAGCACTGCTCAGGGGGTGACCTCCAGATGGCACAGGGGAGTGTTCTAGAATGGGAGGGAGAGCCACACGCTCACAAAGGAGGCAATACTGGGGTGCTTGTGGATGGGAGGGCCCACTCCCGCTGCCCCCAAGTAACCAAGGCTGCAGAAGAGAGACACAGTCCTTCTTCCCCCACAGAGGCCCTTGGGTGCTGGATCGTACAGGCTGATTCTCCATTTTGGCCACTTCTGTGTCAGAGCACTGGCCTTCAAAGAGAGAACTCGTAATCACTGAGACATGAACTTAAGTCAGACTCAGGAGGGAAAGAAACTCCAAGAGGCCGAAGGGAAGATATCTGACAAGCAGGCTCCAGCAAGCTTCCGACCGAGACGAAAGGTCAGCTCGACCAAGGTGAAAGGTCGGTTCTC